AAGGTATAGACCGTTTTATAATTAGTTATCGTGTTGCATAGCATACATTTAATAATTAAGAAGTGATAGCGTCATCTCTGTGAAGTTTTGTGTTTGAATAACATCACACGGGCATCTTTGGGTACTTTATGAATTAAAAGAAAGACATGTGAAAATAAACTGGAAGAAACATTTGTGTCATCAAATCCTAGATTGTCCGCATTTTTTTTGTGTTTTCTTCTGTTACCTTACGATCCTTAATGATCCCATTATTGGCCTCTTGCAGATATCAGCTAGATGGAACCCGGAGGAAGCATGCAGGCCTGATATTGATGAAGCACCCGTGTTTTATCCAACTATTGAGGTATTCATCTTTATTTGTTTGATAGTTGCATTGCTTTTTATAATATCTTTGATGGTCACAGTTTTTGTATCATTGCATTTTTTGTATATATGGTTATTTAATTACATGTGATGTTCTCATCGTTTAGGAGTTTGAAGATACACTTGGTTACATGGCAACGATCCGCCCACTGGCCGAATCTTATGGTATATGCAGGATTGTCCCTCCACCTTCCTGGACCCCTCCCTGCCCTCTTAAGGAGAAAGAGGTGTGGGAACATGCCAAATTTTCTACACGCATTCAGCAAGTTGACTTGCTGCAAAACAGAGAGGCCATGAGAAAGAAAAGTAGAAGTCGGAAGCGTAAACGGAGGAGGAACTCAAGAATGGGAGCCAGAAGACATTCGGAAGCTAATGCTGCTACTGAGGCTGATAAGAGGTTTGGGTTCCATTCAGGATCAGACTTTACATTTGAAGAGTTTCAGAAACATGCTGCTACTTTTAAGGAGAGTTACTTTGGAACAAAGGATGTCAAGGAGGGTTCAACTTGTGGTGAAACTAAAAGCAAAACATGGGAACCCTCTGTGGAGGACATCGAAGGTGAATACTGGCGAATAGTTGAGACACCAACAACAGATGAGGTTGAGGTATGTAACCATATTTTTCAGAACCTTTAACTCATTTTGTGAATATTGAATGTACTCTTATCTTTGTAAATGGCCTTTTTTATGTTGGTATTTCAGGTTTACTATGGAGCTGACTTGGAAACAGGAGTATTTGGAAGTGGTTTTCCTAAGGCATCATCAACCGGAATTGATTTGGAGAAGTATGCAATGTCAGGTTGGAATCTAAACAACTTCCCACGTCTGCCTGGTTCTGCACTGTGTTTTGAAGCAAGCGATATCTCGGGAGTTCTAGTCCCATGGCTCTATGTTGGGATGTGCTTTTCTTCATTTTGTTGGGTATGTCATTCCACTATGATGGTCGAAAAACGGCCCTCCAGATCTTTTTGTTTCTTGTGTCGTTGAAAAAGTGTAATATTTCGGTTTCCTGTTTTCTTATTTGGTCTTCTTTTTTGTGGTTTGTAACAGCATGTTGAGGACCACCACCTGTATTCGCTAAATTGTCTGCACTGGGGTGACCCAAAAGTATGGTATGGAGTCTCTGGAAGCCATGCTATGGATTTGGAACGTACAATGAAAGCGTATTTGCCTGATCTGTTCGAGGAACAACCTGATTTACTCAATGAACTGGTAAGAAGATTTTTATTCACATGCTAACATATATAGGTTTTGTTATAATTATCTCAGGCACTAAGATTACATCTTTCATTTTTGTTCAGGTCACTCAGCTATCTCCTACAGTTTTAAAGTCTGAAGGTGTACCTGTGCATCGAGCCGTCCAGCATTCTGGGGAATTTGTTCTTACCTTCCCGCGGGCATACCATTCTGGATTTAATTGCGGCTTCAACTGTGCTGAGGCAGTGAACGTGGCCCCTGCTGATTGGCTAGAACATGGGCAAAATGCAGTTGAGCTCTACAGTGAGCAGTGTCGTAAGACATCAATTTCACACGACAAATTGTTAATGGGATCAGCTCGGGAAGCTGTACATGCCCTCTGGGAAAAATCAGTTCTTGGAAAGGAAACTACAAAAAATATGAGCTGGCAAAGTGTTTGTGGCAAAGATGGTCTACTCACCAGAGCAGTTAAGATACGAGTGCGAATGGAGGAGGAAAGACTAGATCGTCTTCCAATTTGTATGAAGTTGAAAAAGATGGAAAGAGACTTTGATTTGAACAATGAGAGAGAATGTTTTTCTTGCTTCTATGACTTGCACTTATCTGCCTCCGGCTGCAAATGCTCTCCTGACCAATTTTCATGTCTCAAACATGCAAAGCACCTTTGTTCATGTCACATCAGTCATAGATATGTCCTTCAACGCCACACTATCAATGAATTAAATATGCTGGTTGAAGCATTGGAAGGGAAAGTAGAGGCCATAAAAGTATGGGCATCCAAGGACCACGGAGGAGACGGTACTGATACATATACAACTAAGCTGGATGAAGAAAGTGGCATGCCTCGTAAAAGAATCAAATCTTGTGAGCCAAGGGAACCTTCACCTTGCTGCCCGGTTTCAGAAGAGAAGGTGAACATAAATGCATCTAGCAGTTCGTCCAGTCAGGTTTCTTCTGCAGTAGTCCAGTCAGGGTCACAGCATGGAACTTCTAGTTTAAGTACGTCTCCCATCACTATGGATATTCAAAATGACGATCAAACTCTGGTAAAGAATGATGAAGCAAAGACGGGGATGGAATGCTTTGATCTGAATCTTAATTATATGTCTGAGGAACAAGAAAGCAGGACGATGCACACATCTGATCACTGTGATAACAAGGCTATCACAATTGAGGAGGAGACCTCTACATCGGTGTCTAGTCAAAAGAAAGTATGTAGTTCAAATGTAGCTAGAGAACTAGACATGATGAAAGTTGATGATGACTGTAATGTATCTGCTCTGACAGTTCTGAACAATGACCACCCTGCCGGTTCAAGGGACATCAGGAATAACTGTGCGAGTGAGGGCAACAAGTTGTTGGGTGTAAATATATCTGTGACTGACCAAAGCTATCAATTACAAAAGTTGATTCCTTCCGTTGAGCCTATTGATTTTGGAGCTGTTGTCTCTGGCAAGTTGTGGTGCAGTAAGCAGGCCATATATCCAAAAGGTATGTTGGCAGTAGTGCTATGCGTGGATTCTATAACTTTCTTCTGGTTGCATTTTTCACTCTCCTTTTCATTCTCGTGTTGTTTTGTCTAGTTGTTCTTTCTTTCTAAATAATGGTTGTCTTTTTCAGGGTATAGAAGCCGAGTTAGGTTTTATAGTGTGCTTGACCCAACAAAAGTTTGTAGCTATATTTCAGAAGTTCTCGATGCTGGGCTTCTTGGTCCTCTATTCAAGGTATGTCTCTCTCGACCTCCAATAACACTGAAGTGAGAGATTGAGGGAAATGTAAATTTCAGAGTTACAGCTGACCATTAATTTGTTGAATACTTGCATTGAATTCATAGTTTGCGAAACTAGTGAGCATTAAACACCATCACACTTCTAAAGGCTCTAAATCATTCATTTTATTTAGTTTATGCATTTCTGAACAGATTTCTTTCATGAATTTCAGGTTAGTTTGGAAGATTTCCCAGGTGAGGTTTTCGCAAATGTATCGGCAGAGAAGTGCTGGGAAATGGTACTACAGAGACTACACCAAGAAATAAACAGACGGAGTAGTGTAGGGGAAAGCGGACTGCCCCATATACAGCCATTGCAGAGCATTAATGGGCTCGAAATGTTTGGATTTCTCTCCCAACCCATTGCTGAGGTACAGTAACTCTTTGTTTATGTCATTACTTTTTATTGCGATAAACTAATTTCTTTCGCACGAAACTATGCTTTTGGTTTTGTTATGTCATTGGTGAAGAAAAAGAATTCTTACTCCACTCTCAAAAATAGAATTTAATCCAGTATCTCACACCTGACTATGTTTCTTCCAGGCTATTGAGGCTCTTGATCCTGACCATCAATGCGTGGACTACTGGAATCACAGGCGCATGGTCCCATCAATGTCTTGCAGGGTTAGTGAAATCAAGCAGCATTCATTCGAACAAAGTTGCTGTCTAGGAGAAATGGAGACGAAAGCTTTTGGTGTCAGTTTGACAAAGCCGGATCAGGATTGTTCATCGGCGGAAGATCATCATTCAACTGAAGAGACGCAGTTAGTACTACGAAGACTACTAAAGAAGGCAGATTCAGAAGAGTTAAGTACATTACAGAGAGTAATCTGCAGTAAGTCACAAAGTGCAAAATGGAGGGTGGCATTCGCATCAATGATCGAAGAGATCCAGAAACATGTAGATATTTAAGGAAAAGTAAGAAGGTTAGGTCCCATCATTCTTCTCACTCGAATTTAGTCATTCATTTGGCCTAATCCTTTGATCGAAAAAAAATCCGTGAGGGGAAAGAGGGAGAGTTTCTGGGTCTTGAGTTGGGCACTAGATATTTGTAATGTGGCTACTCATGAACTGGACCAAGGGTCTTGATTTGGCGGGACGGAATGTTTTCGATTGGTTGCAGATCTTTTTGTTCAGTAGGATTTCTGTTTTGAGGATAGGATCTAGGACTTAATCAGCTAAGCTCATCTAATTTTTCTTATCCTGTTTCATTGATCATTGATAAACAAGTTTAGAAAATGAAAGGTGCTGTTTCAAATTCTTCATTAAATGCTTGAATTACCCAATTACTTGTAGTAGATGCCTCTTGTTCATGTTTTAATCCCCTTTTGTTTCGGAAGTTGTTTCTATTCTTACATTCGTTTCTTCCTCATGAATGATGAATGAACTGTCAGAAACTCGTACGAGAGTAGGTTTAACTGTCCTAACCATAACTGAATATCTCCGAGACGCGCTTCATTCTTCATTAAACCAGAGCATCAACTAACTAAAAAATGAACTCATTTTTTTATTTTTCTTCTGTACAAGCGATATTCTACTTTGAATGCGAGAAAAGGATTTGAACTCGGTTGCATTGCAAGGGTGACCACATCCGCTCTAGCCAATGTCGATACACTCGTAAAATTGCACTTTTAATTTAATTGAAAGAGGAAGAAATTCAGACACTGGCAGAGAAACAGGAACAATATCATCATTGACTAGTAAATTGCATTCATGAGCAAGAATACAGAGTAAGAACCCCATTTACATGAAAGATCAGAACTACAACAAAATTGCCAAATCTTGCAACAAGGAATTGAGATTGATGATCATCAAACACTAAAATTCACACAATTAACAATCTGGGATTTGCCAGAAAAACCCTAAAATCCAATTCTTGATCAAGAATTCACGATCGTCATCATCGCTATCATCAAGAATTCAACTACCTGTGAATCCTGAACCCCAAAACCACACAAGCAACCAAGAACCACCCCACCGGAAACTCGACACAGCTGCACGGCGGCGCCGCATCAGACTTCCACCCAGCGCCGATGGCTTCCCCGGTTGGCAGAAACAGCCCCTGCGGCGATGACGGCGGAGGATTATGCCGCTGCTGCCCCTGCTGGGAATTGGGCTTGGGCAAGAGGTTGAGCCCGTCGCCGTAAACGGAGTACTGAAGAATAGTTCCGACACCGTGGACCGCCATCGTGGCGGTGACGTAGAGGTCGGGCTGAGTGATCGGAGCGTCGTCGAGGGTGAAATTGGAGGGGGAGGTGTTGGTGATGAGGATGGACTTGCCGGGGAGCAGAGTAGGGAGGCGGGATCCGGGCTTGAAGAGCTGGAGGTCGGCAAAGCTGAGGCGCTGCGGGACGACGTGGTAGGGGAACATGAAGGGGTCGGTGGTGGGGAGGCTGTTCAAAGCGTTGTCTTGCGGGATGAAGAGGGTGGCGCTCAAAGGGAGGGCTAGTGGGTTTGCGCCGGTGATGATGTTGACCCAGTTCCCGAAGTCGCCAGCTCCGATTAGGGCGTCGATTATGTTGTTGAGTTGTTGGGGCGTCGCGCTTGGGGATGGCCGTGAATGCGGAGGAGGCGGTGGCGGAGATAATGGCGGTGGGGATGGTGGTGTTAATGATGGTGATGGTGATGGAGATGGAGATGGGGTTTGTGGCGGTGGCGGTGGCGGTGAGGGAGAGGCAGTGACGGTGGCGATTGGGTTGATGGCTGAGAACAGAGTGGTGAGAAAGAAGATTAGAAGAAATGAGTGGTGGTTCGGCGCCATTGGAGAAGCAGAGAAAAGCTTGAGGAAAAAAGAAGATGAGAGCTTTCTTGATTTTTCTGGTTTAGATATCGGTTGGTCAGCACTCAACTGAATATGAAGACTAACGAACTTTGGCGCCAAATTCCCGCCCTTGCAGAAGGAAGAAGCGCAATGTGAGTAATTAAAGGACAATTCTAAGGGTATTTTTGGGTATTTACGTTAATTGGGTCGGGTCTTTTGAGCAATATAACCCAAGCCCATTAATTAGATTGGGTTCAATCCCCTAAACTTTCTTCATCATCTTGCCAATATGATAAATATTGTTGTCCACGCACAGCTTTTTATTTCATACACCCTTTTTTATTTGCATTCATTAGATTGACTGAATTAAAAAAGATCAAATGCTAGAAATTAACAAGAAGTGTGTGGATAGTACACCCCTAAAGATTTCTTTTTTATTTCTTGAGTTATTTTCTTATGTAGTGAATTGTAATTTGTAGATATTAGGGTTTTGATGCCTAGGGTTTAGGGTTTTGATTAATTTCTGATAAATTGGGGTTTGGTACATATTGATCCATACAAAATCATAGTGTTATTGTGTTTCATTGAGTTTTTTAATGCTAAAGATCGAAACTTTTGCTTCTATTTTTTGTGCATTGGTTTGAAATTTTGAAAAGATTGTGCATTTTTTTATTCATCAAGAACCCTAGAAAACCAAAATGTTTGCCAGCAACCCCAAACTAAAATCTCAAAATTCCCCAGATCAGATTCTTCTTGAAATTAACCTGGTGTTCTTCATCTGATACTTTTTTTCTTATCCCAATAAATCGTTCCCCGTTTTATCATAATTTTAACTATGTTTCAGAAGAGATTCATCTGTGCAACCGGGATATACCCCGGGTATCTACAACCCTCATCATGTGCATTCTTCATGTGAGCATGTATACAAGGGAATATATAATATATCCACGGTTGTATGTGAAAAACTCTTCCTCGATGTGCATTCAATCTCTGGATCAGTTGGAAGCTCTTCTAGGATTCCATTTCTCTTCTCATCATCCAAAAGATTTTCGAACGGGAAATGCAAAGATAAAAAACTGACCATAAGTATTCAGAAGGAGAAAACAAGGGGCAGATGGTTACGGTAATCTACCTGCCCCTTGCACCCCAGTTCGAATCTCACTCCTATATAAAGTAGTTTCGAACATTGTCTACAGAGAAAACACACATTTGAAATCCAGGATTCATCATCCAATGCCAATGTCTGCGGATTGCAGTGTCAAATATCAATACCCAAATTACTAAAAACATGAAACAGCCCAAAAACTTACAAGTTCGGTTTTTTACATGTTTACAAAACAGGCTCTCTTTCATTCAACTAAATGCAAAGATATCGCAGTGTAACTGTAAATGCCAAACGGTTTTCGTTTTATATTTAATGTACTAGGATGAAGACATCATCAAATATAGGACAATCTCTGTTTTGAGGTTATGTAAGGTCATCTTCATCCAGCGGTTCTTCTTGATCCTCAGAAGCATGGGTCGTCAGCGCGCTCACATCACCCGTCGGCAGTTTCCTGGCGAGCCTGATGATCTGCAGCCATTTCAGTTTAGTCAAATATAAGCCAAAAACATGTATATTTGCAGTTTATTATTCATGCAAGGCAGAATAAAACCCAAGATAATTATTGTACAGTCCAATATTTCATTGTTAATCGAGCATCGATGGAATAAACCAGGTGGTACTTGCAGCTTCTTATCAACATTTATAAATTTCTTCACAAATGTCAACAAAAAACTTTAAGATTTATGCAATGTTTTGGTAAGCACTAAGCAGACGAGTCAGTTTTAACAACTCTTCACAAGAGCAAAGAAACCGGGTGGAGTTGTCTCTATAAGTTCTTGAATATGTTATCAATCTAAATCCATGAGACAAAGCTCAATTCAATAGTTGCAGTTGCATTCAGAAAAGCAAACCATGATTAGTTATCCAAGCGTCACCCCACAGAGAAGGCATTTAACTGACCACAACCCCATTAGTTATGAATCATATTTGGATTAATACAAATTCAAATATCCAAAGGAGGCAAACAAACGTATATATTACCATGTGATCAAGATGATTAACCGTGCCTGACTGAGCAAGTTTTTTTATTTCTTCAACATTACCGTCTGTGTAAGCTGAGAGGAGTTTACCAGCAAAACGGCATTGATCACTTCTCATAAAAGCGTCAACCCTACACAGCCAAAAGCAGTAAACCAATATCTCATGAGATACATGTTCTGAATTTGGACTTATAAAAAAGTTGCCCTCGTGTCCTTAAGATTTAAGGAGAAAAAACAAAGTCTCAAGAGGATCAAAAGCTGCTTTACCAGGGCCTCCTTATACTCGGTAAGTTAATTTTAATAATTCATAAACATATTGAACCTGGATATTTCGTACTCATAGTTACTAACATGTTTAACTACTTGTTACCATTCTAATATTCACAATAACAAGTAAAACTTGGACTTCTATATATTGCGGAAACCAGAAGTTTCCCTGGGAACTTTTACTTACTGGGAGCAGTCATTGTAGCATTGTTCTGCTTGCTTGATGTCATGAAGATAAAGGTAAATAATTATGGCACCAAGATATGCCTGATTAGACAAAGAATGTAAAAGTTAATTTTTTTTTTTAATTAAAAAAATAATAAAACAGAAAGCAATTAAAAACAGTGACTAATGCGGAAAGGGAGAAAGGATAACGATATGTTAATGTTCATATGCAGGGGCTATATAATAACTTTGCACACAGAAAAGAAACAAGCACAGGTTATAATCATTGCATGAGTATCAGACAAACAAAGAAGAATGAGTAATTGTCTGAGTTATAAATGTAGTGGTACATGAAACTAAAAGTGCAGAAAATATTACTTTTCAGTGTAATAGTCAGGATACATGTAAGAAGGCCTCAAGGAATTCTCGAATTATGGATACAAGAAGACTATGTAACATAGTTATACAGAAACTACACGAGGGCCATGTGGGATAGGTAATACAAATGCAACAAAAACAATATATAAAGTGCCAGAAAAATCCTTTCGAACCTTGCACTGGCTATGGGTAGCATTGCACTTATCAGCAGATACACCAAATCTCAACATTAAAGCAGCGGCATCTGTACCTGTAAACAGTGGAAACACTAAATTCAAGATCTCAAGAACATGATCAAACACATACAAAAAAGCTGCATACAGATTACACTGATTTCCTGAAAAAGAAAACCCTCAATTTTAGAACTTTTGCAACCTCAAAGCACTACCCTTTTCTAAGAATTTAAAACCTGAAAACTCAAGTTTACCAAGGCCTTAACTTTAATTGCGCGATAAGGTATAACATATAACATTTAAATGCCTTGATTATTAATACATCCAGAAAAATGATAACGACCAAAGTTTACTTCATCCTCCAAATCAACTAAAATGATAAATTACAATAATTCAAAAGACAAATGGTATGTTATTTGAGAACTTACTTCTCACTTTTTATGTAAACACTAGTTGCATCACGATATAGATCAAAGGCCATTTGCTCCTTGCCATCTTCTTCAAGAATAGCACAAGCATCAGTGTAAAGTTGAATAGCTTCATCAGGCATAGAATCTTCCAGAGCACTGTAATAAGGTTTATCATTTCACATGAGCCTCCAAAGGCATTATGATTCATAGCTGCAAAAAGCAAGAGAGTGAAGCATATCCTTACCGGGCCCCTTTCGCAAGAGCATCTGAGGCCGGCTGTGGTCTCCCACACTCAGCGTACAATTCAGACGCCCTTTTATAGAAGTCAGCAACTTCATTCCATTTTCCTAACTCCTTCGCTAGAGCAGCAGCAGACTCCATATGCTTTGCAGCATCCCAGGGTCTGATTTGGTTGTAAAGGATATAGCAAGAGAGAAACTATAGAGATCACAAACAAAGTCAAAAGACACTGAAAGAACGGACCAGAAAAGTAGAAGATAACAAGGATACGAGGAGATCAATTCTTGTCCTTTCGAAGCTTTTTCCAACGCTTCCTTTGCTTTCTCGTAATCCTTGGCAATCCTAAAACCATTTGCTACAACAAAAACAGTTTAAGTATAAATCCCTATCAACCATTGTAACGAATGCTTACAATTGCACATAACATACTACATACCAGCTTGTTCGTACAAAAGAGTAGCGCTTTTCCAATCCGCACTCCACCTTGTAAGACTGAGTCTTGTTCTACAATCGAAAATTAAAGGCGTTCAGTAATTCAGAAGACGGGGAAACTAGCATGCTTGAACAATCGAAGTTACTATACAAACAATAAAAAGACAGAGCTTGCCCTCTTTTGCTCTTCCCCCATCAACAAACAAACTAAAGCTCAAACGAAATCAAAATGTCGGTTGTCCACTGTAAATTACTGAAAAATTAGCAGATTACTGAAAGATTCCAAATTTATGCAACTTCATCCAATTTCCAACTGACCCAGAAAATCAGAATTATATTACTACCCATAACTAATCGAAATCACAATAACAAACAGACAACTTTGGCTCGTTCAATTGAATCAAAATGCACAAACCAAACGCAAAATTATGCATACTTATGATTAAATTACTAGATATTGAAGAAGCACTTACAGTTTATCGGCTTTGGCGAGCAACTTGTTTGGATCGGAACCCGCCATGGTTGATGGTTGAACTCTGAGTGTAAAGCTTTTTTCTTCCTCTTTTTTTTTTTTTTTTTTGTTGGATTTTTCCTCTAGTTTTACAGCGTAGTTTGATTGCCTTTTTAGGCTGTATTTTGCTGGGGATTTTTGGAAAAGTAACCATATTTTAGACCCCATATAGAATTATAGCCTCTATTTTAGTTTTTTGATAATTATAACCAAAATTTGATGTAAAAGTACTAATATATCCTTAATGTCAAAAAAAATCCCCATTACTCTTAACCATGAAAAAACAACAATTAATTGAGATCTTGAAGCATAAAAGATGTAGCCTCTTGAATACTACCCGGTGCCCCTTACTCTCGAACCCCTCCATTTCCTACAATCTTTTTTAATCTATATATATATATGTATGTATGTATGTATGTATGTATGTATGTATATAGATATAGAGTAGATATAGATATTCACATATTGTTGTTAAATTAAGGGTATATTATGAAAAATTGGCAAAGGGTGCTCATCTGGTTTAAGGTGAGAAACCAAAAGGTTGCAAGAGAGTTTAAAGGAGTTTTTGTTGTGAGAAACCCTAATATTAAGGGTACATTAGTACTTTTACATCAAATTTTGGTTAGAATTATCATAAAACTAAAATAGTGGCTATAATTATATATAGGGTATAAAATATGGTTACTTTTCCAAATTTCCCATTTTGCTGTTACCCGGTTTTCATGAGTTCCTTGCAACTGCCTACCTGGCTCCACTTATCTTCATCTCTATATATAATCTTAATTTCAATGGAGGAGGGTCTTCTCTCAAGATGGGGATTCTTCTGACCACGAAATACAGGCCGTTCAAATTTAATCTAACAGCTCCAAATAGGGTGTCTTCTAAAAGTTATAATAATTGCAATCGTTGAATTAATTTGAACGGTCGGATTTCGTGGTCAGGAGGATCTCATCCTGAGCTCAGGAGATGATCCTCTTCCAATTTCAATGAATTCGGATCCTCACCAGATTCTTTTAGTGAAGATTCCAAGATCATGAATTATATCCGTTCATCATACATTGTGTAGTCATAAATCATTTTAAATATTTTTATTTAAAATTAAATACAAACAGCACCTGACAAAAACGAACCACACAATGTATGATAAATTGACATGATTTACAGATCCCTAAGATCCTCACCAAATAGATCCAGAGAGGATCCTGTTGGAATTTCAATGTACAGATGGAGAGAATAAATGATGAATGATTGGTAAATAAGGGAAGGTAAATTTGGTGAAACATTGATAAAGCTAACTTTTAAAAAATAAAAATAAAAGAAAATTTAACTAAATTAGTGCAAAATAGTAAAATAATTTTCAAATAAAAATTCAAAAGAACAACTTCACCCCATGTAAAGAAGTTAGCCACCTCTTTTCTGAATTTATTACTAGCATATGTCTACACATCTATTTTATTTTTAAATCAGAAGGAGAGGGGAAAGATGTTTTGATCTTTATTTTTATTTTTTTAATTAGAGGTATGTTATGACTATATGTGGGTGAGACTTAAAAAAAATGTAAAATTTGGTTTGTGCAAAATTACATTACTCTCATATTCTATTTTGTGGTAGAAGTTTAAATTGTCTTTTCACCCTTAACAAATAGAATTTTATTAATATGTAATTTAGATCAATAATATTGTAAACTAAGTTTTTTTTTATAAACAATTAAAAATCTAATAAAATTAAATAAAATTTAAAAGAGTCAATTATTGTCACATCCCGGCCCAGGGCGGACCACTTCCCGGGCGCGCTCCACCACCGTAACACTAGAGCGTATTATTTCACCATCTTAGTCGTACAGACTACTATAGGTAGTTCCGACTTATGTGCAGTGTAGTGCCGTACAGGTCACAGTTTGTGACTCCGGCAGGGCCGTACAGGTCACAGTTGGTGACTCCGGCTGTATGGAATATTGAGCTATAGAATCAGCCGTACAGGACCATTGTAGGGTCTCCGGTTGATTTATTATTTCACCTGATTTATATTGATGCATTCATATTATATTTTGGCAATGGCATGGTATGGCATATTCTTTATGAAAAGCGTTGAAGGATTGTGATTGATGATATATATATATATATATATATATATATGTTTATATACTATTATGTTATTTTCTGGGAAAGTATACAGGTTTTACAGCGAGGGGTTAGATATGTTGTTAAATGAAATGTTTTGGAAACTTTGTTTTACTGACCCACTCAACTTTGTTTTGCGCCCCTCCAGGTTCTAGTAGCAAAGTTCCTTATCGACGAGGATTCGTGGCATGTCCCTGTTAAGGTGGCGGCCAGCACAGCTCAATTCGGAGTCCTAGTGGACATTCCGGATCTGGGTGTGTCAATTATCACGCGCAAGTGGCAAGAGGCTTGTTTTTATTGATACTAGCAATTTTCACATAAGATGCGTTTCTTGAGCATTTGAAATTTAGTAATTTGATATAAATACTCTTAATGGTTAAATTGTTATTTATCAAGAGAAATACTAAGGAGACTATTTCAAAAGTGAAAATTTTCGGACTCTTTGTCACCTTATGTTTTTAGCACAATTTTCGTACCAATATTATAAATAATTGTGCAAAAATGTGAGGTGGTGGATAGTCTACAGAGAGTCTTACTTTTAGACTCTCCTTAGCATTTCTCATTTACTAAAGAAGGGCATAATTAAAAATAAAATGTCATTACAAATGGTGTTCTCTTAATTAACAGTATAAATAATGTCGATTTTCTCTCTGGATTTTACTTATTTCAGGGTTTCTTTGAAACTTTTCTATGTTGATTTTTCTTGTTTATATGAATTACAATATAAGAATTTTGGCTTTAATATTCTTAAATTTCTCTCCATCGTCTGCTTCCAACAAATAACCTGGTCAAGATTCAAAAAGTCAGTAAATTCACATATCTCCCAAAGTATATGAAACGTAAATGAAGAATAAAGGTGGTTGTTTGATATATTTGTGGAAGTTGTATGCTTTAATTTTTCTCTAGATGACGATGAGTAAATAGAATTTTAAATATTGATGTTTGGTTCAAAATTTGAAAAATATAAGGTATTATAAGATTGATCTCGATAAAACTGGACGAAGCCAAATCCATAAAAGAGTAAGGCTAAACCCAATTAAAACCCGAGTCCAACCAAACCCGCATGAATCCAAACTCAACCCAAATCAGAATTGTGAAAGTTGGGTTAGGTGAGTTGACTATCCAACATGCCCAACACGCCAAATCATTTCAATGGTTGATGAGGATTTTGAATTAAACTTTGTTTTCTGTTGTAGCTACTGGGTTAAGGATTGCCAAGGGTTGTGGGAAAGCGAAGGAAGCATTGTAAGAAACTTCGAAAGGACAAGAATGGATCTCTTCGTATCATTGTTATTTTTTACTAGTAAAGTCTATTGTTTGGGTGCCATAGGATATTGTTTGATGATCTCGATAACTGCTTTCTTTCTATATCCTTTACAACCAAATCAGAAGCTGGGATGCTGCAAAGCGTATGGGGTCTGTTGCTGCTCTTCCAAAGGAGTTGGGGAACTGGAATGAAGTTGCTGATTTTTATAGAAGGGCGTCTGAACTCTGGAGTGTACGTTGGGTGTGGGAGATGACAGCCTGCCTCCGATTCCGCTTACTACAGTGCGTTGGCGGTCATTGTTTTTATTCTTCCGTACCATTGTACACAGAAACATTTGATTCCGCTTAGTTTGTCGAGCAGAATACAAATTAAGCCTACAGAGTGACATCGTGTAACGTAGTTGCAATAGCAAATCTCACCCCACATAATGAATCACTACCAGTACAAACAGACCAATCAGTTCCACAACCAAAGTTATAACTACTTGTTTGGAATCTGGACGTTCCATAAACTAAGAAACTCCCTCGATCATATCAGCAACCAAACTAATTAGTACAATGGCTTAAATGGATAGATAATTAGGGTTTACCCACTCAGTCGACTACGGCCAGAGTTTGATAGTTTTCGCCGGAGATGGCTGCTTCCATGATCTCTTCTGGACCAATTTCCCCGTCATTGTCCAAGAAGGACTTGACCAGGTTGTCGGAGAAGCCACGCAACAACGTCACCCCTTGTTCTACGCTACACTCAGGCGGCTCCAATGGACTGATGCCATCGTTCGTACTCCAAATCATCAAGTGTGGCACTGTATACCCCTTGGCCTCAAACCTCCTTTGTATTTCTTTGTAATCACAAAATATTGAGTTCCTAATTCCACTCCAAGTAAGGTCTTTATGTCCGTATTTCTCTTTAAACACAAACACCTTGTTGATCATCTGCTCTGGCTTCACATTCTCTTTCACGGCGACTTCCAGAATCAAATCAAACACCTTCTTCACCGCATCAACCTCCTTCTCCCAGTCCTTGTCACCCCAGTCCTTCTCCTCCCAACTCCCCATAAATTTGCACTTGGACCTAAGATCTTTGCCCGGTGGTATCAAATGCATCTGAGGGTTTCGAGTGTAACTCACCACCTTTCCTTTCCATGGATTCTGGCTATTCAGTTGGGACACCAACAGCCCCAGAGGCCCAGCCTCGCTGCAGAACCAGGAGGATGTGTCCACATTACACACAACCAAGCAGTTGTTGAGCTTCCCCTGCTTCTGGTGCAAGTCCTCCACCATTCTCTCCCACAGAAGCTCGGCGGCTTGCTCGAATTTCCTAGCATATCTTAGGATCTGGTGTGGAAGCAGAGCACCGGTCTCAATCAACTCGGGCACAGACTTGGACTTGGCGGCAATGGCTTCGTTCAGCTCCAGCATATACTTGAAAATGGGACACTCAGTGCGAGGGAACGGATGATAATCATAACCCCACGGGTTGGCATCATCTTGGACTGACTTCCTTGACGCCATGGCTTGTCTCAACGGCACCAAAACCTCCTTTCTCAGCCGCATCCCCAGCGGAAATTTTCTCGCAATGCTTTCATACAGCAGACCCGTGGGGCGTGGGGCCTTGGAGGAGTTGGGTCTGGAAGGGCAATATGAAGCGGCACTCGTTATCTTCAACTCCAACATCTCCAGCCCCTCCTCGCCCTGCTGCTGCTGCTGCTGCTTGTGCTTAAGCTTGTTCAGTTCCTGAATATCATACTTCAAGCACTCGGCAATAAGGTCCGAAACCCGGTCGTGCAAGAACCGATAATGCGGATCGCGATCATACCTCTCAGCGACCTTGTTAGCCATGGCGATGGTCTTCCTTCTCTTCAACAAGGCGCTGGCTTTCTCCTTGGTTGTCTCTGCCCGACTACTACGGAACACAAAGGGATTAGCACAGAAATTCTGCTGGCGGCTGATGTTGTACAGCATCCTCGTCCAAGTCCAAGGGTAGTCATCAACTGAGTGGCCTACGTCTAGCCGGGACAGAATTTCGAGGACGCTGGCAATTCCCCCGTCGTCTGCAATAGGCAGGAGGTTGCAGGCAAGGGTCTTGGGGTGGTTGTGGTGGAGCCAAACAGCGGCCGCGTAGAAGGCTTCGCCTGGGAGGTGCAAAATGAGCTTGAGGGTAGTTAGGGGATCGTGGGACCAGGCCTGCGGCAATAGTTTCTGCACCAACGTTTGCTGGTATTCGGAAATCGACCGGCAGTCAAAGTATGATCCCTCCACGGGACTGCAGAAGTAGAGATCAACGCAGGGGCTTCGCAATTGTTGTGAAGGAGTTGTGGGAGGAAAAGGAGTAATCACTTTTTCTGCGAGTTGTGTGATTTTTCCGGCATGGTTTCGGCACACTTTCAAAGCCGAGATGCTTTTCACTTGCACTACTGCTCTCTGCATCTCTCTCTCTCTCAACCTTTTTCGGTTTGGTTTTGTTTTGTTTTGGACTGGATTGGAAGTTCTGGCTAGCTTGTTAGCTTTGTTATATTTACTTTTCCTTGGGCACCAAGGGATCCAAACCCTAGCGGGTTAATATCTCATTCATTCATTCGGAGTTGGTATCTCTGCAACTCCAACCAACCAATCTTATGGCTTTGTTTAGATTTTCTGCCAAATATTAGTTATGTTGCCAAAACATAAAAAGGTACTGATATCTGCACTTTCCTATTATCAGCATTCGTCATTTCCTACCAAAGAAGGTTTAAGTGCTAGTATTTTTTTGTCCGTTTATTTTTCGTATTATTGAGTAATCTAAATTGTTACAAAATAATTGATAATCTCAATACAATTTCATTTTTATTTTTTTTATCTTTTTATTAAAAAAAAGCTTTTTTTTTTAGGAAAAAAAAAATTTGTTTCGATAGAAAATGTTATTTTAAACGTATTTTAAGTAACGATTTTAAAATTTTAAACCTGTTGTCCCTTTGGCTTTTTTTCTGGTGGTACAAAAATATCTAGCTCTTGTTTGGGCATAAAAGAAATTTACAAGCAAGAAACAAAAGAAAACTCATTTTTCAATTACTTTTCTCACAAGCATTTAGGTACCTAGGTTTATGACCTTGTACCTTCTTCTTGTAACTGTGCATATTTGTATGCGGTAGGTCATACAAATCGTCCACATTCGTTAATTTGTTAATAAAGAACAGAGAAATTTTATTTGGACCAAAGTTGTTAGCTCTACACCCAATTAATATTTTCTCTCCATTAAACTTCCGAATTTGTTCTTTGAAAAGACGATATTATTTACACTAAGAGGAAGGGATGAACACTAATGTGGTTCAAATTTGTCTTTGGCAATAATCGAATCTAAGACCTCTCACTTATAAGTAAAGAGGAATACCACTAAACCGTTTTACTAAGTGGCAACTTCCAAATTTGTTCTTAAACAAATAAAAATAAGAGTTAATCTTAGTTTACTACCTTAAAGTCTCTTGATTTTCAACATTTGGTACAAGAAATATTTTTCGTCCCGGTCTAGTACCGAAAGTTATAATTATGGGATACTTTCACATATCCGTTAAATTTTATGTCAGAAACTCCGTTAAATGATGACGTGGCATTCACGTGGACAATGACTGGACGTCATGTGTCAATATGGGCTCACATAAATATTAAAAAATTAAAAATTAAAAATCAAACAAAATGAGAAAACTAAAATCCGTCTTCTTTCAAGGACCAAACCAAAATCCACCTCTAATTCCACCAAGAATATCAATCCCACATCAATACCCTCAAATTCCACCAAATTCGCCAACATATGTCTCTAACCTTGTGTTCCTCTCCTCCGAACTCCTCGCTGTCGTCGCCTTCTCCATTTCCTGCAATCTTCTTCCTAAACTTCAAGATCTCGTTTTAGAGCTTCAAGATCTCAAAGTCGGTGAGGGACTTGTGGAGGTGGACGATCTTGGACACAACATTGGCAACCTCGAATGAGAGAATGTTGATGGTTTGCTTCTGGGTTTTGGCGGCGGCGGCACCGACACATGGTGACTCATCTGCTTCAGTGCTTCGATTCTTCCCTCTCCTTGGGTGGCTTGCGAACCGGAGCTGCTCTAGATCAGTTTCAGATTCAGGTTCCTCATATTTTGGGGTTAGGTTTTTGCAAATGGTGGAGGTGAAGAAGGTGGAGGAGAGAAAATGGAGGGGAGCAGATGGGTGGCTGCAGAGGAGAAGAGAAGGGAGAAAGCGGATGGGTGGGTGTGGAGGAGAGAAGGGAAGGGGAATGGAAGCAGGGGTTAGGGTAGATAGGGGTAAGGTAGGAGACAGATCGAGTTTGCAGGGAAAATAATTTTTAATTTTGGGTAAATCTCAGTTTACTACCCTTAAGTTTCGTGGTTTTCAACATTTGATATATGAACTTTTTTTCGTCATACCTAAAGTGTTAATTTTGGGACAGTCTCATACATCCGTTAGTCTGGCTGTTAATTTTTCCGTTAACTGATGACGTGGTGCATATGTGGATAATGATTGGACGTCACGTGTCATTAAGGGATCCACGTGGAAATTAAAAATTAAAGAAAGTAAATAAAAAAAAGGAACAAATCCCTTTTATCTTTCCCAAAATTCCCACTATCCCACCCCCACATAGCCCCTGTAAGCACTTTGCACCTTTGTGGCAGCTTGCTCTTGCTTGATTGTCTCAAGATCTTCCTGAGAAGTCGAACTCAAGATAGTTTGTGCTTGCCCATCTTCCTTCGCAGATGACATTATAACCCCATCATTCGGCAATTTTTCAGTTACTGTGATCTCATAACCCACTTCATTACCAACAAAGTTTCAAGGGCTCACAACTACCAAAAAAAAACCCAAATCCCCTTTATCTTCCCCCAGAATCCTCACTCGTGCCCACCCTCCCACCCTCATCACCCACCCCTTCCCCAATCCCCCATCACTTGTAACTACTTCCCTCCCTAATGCGCCTCCATCTTAGGCGAGAACCTCCCCGCTAAGCTGCAGAAAGACCTGAAAACGACGCCAGTTGCAGGAGGACCCAGAAACAACGTCGTCGTGCTCGCATGACTATTATGCCCATCGACAACACTGAGCCCACAGACACTAGATCTCACTCTTTTCTAATCAGCGATGATCACGCCCCATTTAAACCTAGGAAGAGCATCAGGACCTCCCTATCCTCGTAGCCAAACATGAACCAAATACCACATCCATCAGGGTTTTCTTCGAGTGAGGGAGAGTGTCAAAAAAGAATGAGATGGTTGGGGATAAAGGGTAGTGCGAGAGAAAGAGTGTTGGGGCCTGACAGCGACTTGGGGGTGGGAAAAAGGGTAGGTGATGGGGGGTGGGAGGGTGGGGATTCTAGGCATGATGATGCAGATTTGGGTTTTTTTTTTGAACTTTTCTTTAAATAATTATTTTTTTGAATTTTTAATTTTCACGTGTCATCCAGTCATTGTCCACATGGGCACCACATTAACAAAAGACTTAACAGCCAGACTAACCCAAAATTAACATTTTAGGTATGACTCTGGGACGAAAAAAACTTCATGGGCCAAATGTTGAAAACCACGAAACTTAAGGGTAGTAAACTGAGATTTTCCCTTTAATTTTTTTTAATTTTTTAATATTCATGTGGGCCCATGTTGATACATGGCGCCCAATCATTGTCTACGTGGGCACCATGTTATCAATTAATGGAATATCTGACAGAAAACTTAACGGATGTATGAAAGTGTCATATAATTATGACTTTGGATACCATACTAGGACAAAAAAAAAACTTCATGTACCAAATGTTAAAAACCAAGAAACTTCAAAGTAGTAAACTGAGATTAATCCTAAAAATAAACAACATTGAAGTCTAATTTGGATCTCTACACCCAATAAACCCCACCACCACCACAACACGCCTCCATTGATTCTGACGAACCCAACTTAAACTCCAACAACACTTAAATCAACAAATTAAGAGTGGATAACAGATGGTCAAGGAGTCCCAAGGTGAGGCTTAAAGCAAACTTAAACTGCAAAAGTTATTCTTTCTTTCTTTCAATCACCGTAAGCACCTTGGACTAAGAAACCATATGGTTTAGCGATCCCCTCTGCACTGTATGCATAAGCACCTTTTTCTTCATATATTGATTTACGAAATGGAAATTAATGCTATTATTCTCATGAAAAGTGGGAAAGCCAAGGAAAAAGATCCCCACCACCCGACTCCCATTATTTTCCAATTATTAGTTAGGTCCAAAGAAAGAGAAAATAAAAACAACAATGGTTGTGGTGCTTGAATTGGGTACACCGGAAAAAAATGGCGGTGTAGTTATTGGGTGTAGAGATAAAATATTTCAATACTTAATTTTTCGATTCTTATTTATTTAAGAAAAAATTTGAAAGTTTGGTGGAAAAAATTTGTTAGTTGGGGGTAGAGCTAAAAAAGTTGGGTTCAAATAAAATTTTCTTAAAAAATATTCCTTTATCATAGTTTTTATACTATATTTAACTATTTCTTTAACAAAAATAAAACTACATATATCAATGAACTTTATCCTTATTAAAGAAATAATACAAATATGATATGAAAAAATACGGTAAAGATATGTAATCTGAAATAATAAGATTTTCCCTAACCTAGAAAGAAAAGAAATAAATAAAATACTACAATGGAAAGGTCAATAACCAAAAAGTGCTTTTAACGCAACGATCTCCTTCTCAAACGCAATATTTTGGGCGGGGAAAAACTTTGGGTATCATCAAATGTTCCCCAATTATCCATGGCTTTTAGCCCGGACACCAATTGGTGGAGCCCAAGGAAAGTGGGCCAGATCTGCGTGAAACCCAGCAGGCCATTTTTCAAAAGAACTTTTAAATTAAATGGAGGCTTGAAAACTTGGTATTAAATATAAATTTGCTTTTAATTAAGGTGTTAGGCTTTTCATAGTGATTTAGGTGAGTGTGATACATATATATTACTTAGGCATTTTGGGTTTGATTTCTGTAACATTATTGTTATACTAGTGTGAGTTCAGTATTTCAATATATTTGTACTTTGGTAGCAATTTTCCTTTGTCTTCAGTCTTAACGAAATTGTACTTACGAAACAAAATAACACCTTGGAACAAGGCCGGAGCTTCATGGACCCATAAGATGGGGGGCGTGGGTTCGCCTAATGAATCTCTAATGCCTAAGTTAGTTTATTTGAAAACAAAGGAAGTAGGGCTTAGGTGTACAAGAAGTTGGTGGAGATATATTATTAATAGAGAGGTGATCGTCCATATGTGTTTTATCTTACACATGGCAACACTCCATTGGTCAAGATGAGTCCTTCTTATTATGAATGAGGAAAGAATAATACCAAACATATTAATTATTAAATATTATCTTGAGATTATCTTAGAAATATTCTTGATTAGATGTGATTAGGATTCCTTACCTTTTTGAATTGA